GCTGGTTTCTCCACATACGCGCCATCCCCGGTGGTGTGCACGCCTGCGTTCGCTGCTCACGCACGGCCTCGGCGATGAACGACCTTGCTTGAGCTTCCAAGCTTGTTGGCCTCTCGGTCCACCGATCTGTCCAGGTGCTCTTCCATAAATTTCCTCTCTCTCTCTCTCTTGCTGTCCACAAGAGCGGTGGAGAATGTACCTACGTCTCAGACCGCGCTGGCGGGAGAATAGGTGGGCCAGACCTGAAAAAATTCTGTAGCTGGGGGAAGAGAAAAATTGAAACGAGGCCTCGATTCTCACAGGCGTTGGCGGAGAGTCATGGGAGAGGGGAGGGGTGTACCGTGTGTGGAGGGGCAAACGTTGACAAACTAAAACGTAATGAAAATAACGACATCCAGTCGAAAACACCACGCACCCGCTGAATAAGACCAGGCACGAACAGCGTTTCTTCCCACCCCCGGCTACTGGACCCCAACAGGTAAAGTCCCGAGGGGGTGCCATTGTCGTTTTACGGTTTACCTGGGAATTCGAGTCACTTGATGGCAATTCTTTAGCCGCTCGCTTCGTGCCTCATGGCAAACACGCGAGAGGGGAAGGTGCTGCTGCGTGTAAGTGTAAGTGTGAAACGCACATTCGGTGTGACGGGAACCAAGACGGAGAAGTGTACATCAGGTATTCGTAACTTAAGGAAGGACATTCACAAAGCAGGGCTGATTCGCTGGTTTATGCAATAAGGAAAGAGAAAGGGTCGAACGGAAAGGCATCGCGATATTGCGCTTCGGTGTGCAATCCAGGCGCCAGCGGTAGAGAATTGAGAGGGGGTCTGCAGTGCTGCACTATGCAGTCCTACCCCGGATTTTTTTTTGCATGCTCTTTGGCCATGGGTTTACTTCGCACTACGGATACTTGAGGTTGCAGGAACCACCTACCTACCCCGGCGTCGTTTGATCATTTTGTGAACACTTGACTTGAAAAACCCCCCCTCTTGGCCTGTCTTTCCTGGCAGTGCCTCGGGATTGCGCAATTCCATTCGTAGCCCGTCCGCATCGCCTGGTCCGGAGCGGTCGTGAAAATATGGTAGTTCTAGGCTGGGGGCGGCAGTGTTGGCGGTTGCTTGGCAATTGCGCGAATTTCGTCCCAGCCGAAGAGCGAAGGCGAAGAACCTAGGTAGGCCTGGGCGAGCTGTAGGTATGAGAAAAGCTGGGGCAAAGGAAATTTTCAAGCAATTTGCGCTCCCCGTCATTGTGCATTCCCTGGGCTGTTCTTCCTCTTTAAGGCCCGGTGGCTTGTCTGTGAGACATGGTCTCGCTACTAGGTGAGGAAGAGAGGAAAGTAGCAAAGTGCCGCGACTCATTTCTTTCAACGATTCCCTGCCTCATTCGTCTCCTCGTCTAGCAGTCAAATCTATCAGGGTACTCGGTAAGTAGACTTTCTTATGCATTACGGAGTACTGGATATTGATACCCGCGTGATATCTACACTAGCAGATGTTACCCCGGATTTCCCAGACATATGGGCGACGGGGACAGTGGTGATGATCCTACGTAATGATAACTCTGCCGAACAACCAACCAGTCAGAAGCTCAATTTCTAACATCCATTCAGGAACAAGGTAGCCGCACGCGCGCGGGGAATGCGACTGAATTGGAGTTTTTCGCTATAATATTTGATATGCCGCTCTGCAGACTTCTGACTTGCTTTGCATCTTCGCCCCCTCGGCCCTTCGCCTCGAGCTGGCGGGCTTCGGTAAGTTCTACACCCAAGCTTTCCATTTTTTTTGTTGCTCCGGAGTCCGAACAAGGTCCAAATTGGCTTTCCGAGCTAGCGGGAGCGGCGACACCGAAAACTCGGTGTTAGTCCCTGAGATCCTTGGGGGGAAACAGAGAGAACTACGTCAAAGTAGCCACATGATGGAGCTCTCCAACTCGTCATGATTGGCTCTTCCCACCTGGGATCATCACCAAACCATCATTCAGTATTCTGTACGGGATACAGAGGTACGAAAACTCCGTACACAGTTCGGCCCAGAAGTAAAAGTGTGCCCAAGTCTTCTGCCCGGCCCGTTTGGTCGGTCTGCGGCCTGCCCCGGCCATGCTGCCCCAGGCCCCGGCACCCGGCGATCTGCATTCCTGGAAAATTTTCCGAAGGCATGGTCGTCGTTGGGCGAGGTGGTCGTGAAGAGCGGGTGCGAGGGAGTTCGGCTTGGACACCCTTAGTATTCAACACCTGACCATGTCACTTTCAAGTGCTTGGGCATGGCTTCTGAGCAGGTCCTTTGGTTTACATGACGCAATACTCCCACCACCACACTATGGCTAGCGATTATGAGCACTAGGCTTGACGGGCAGCTTGGGACAGAAATGAACGGGAGATTGGATTATGTCAGCCAAGGCACCTCATCGTCCCTCGTGCTTACCTAAGGCTCGCAGTCGAGTAACATAATCACCTCTTCACGTGAGATATCAGAGGATCAGCTCTTAGCCGCTCCGAAGTCCAGCATTCAGAAATCTGGGCACATTCATGAACCGTGAATTCCTTGGACAATGCCATGCAAAACGGGGATGGAGAAATTTCGATTCCTATTCCCCGGTGGAAACAGAACGGCATAGGATATTGAAGCTTTGCAATATAAAGTCTCATGAGGCTAACTCCCTACCCCGTCTCAGCTATAACATAGATAAGTCGCTTGCCATTTATTGCAGGCCCATCAGAAGCTGCTTTTGAGCACCTGAGCTAGCGAAATACCTGCAGCATTAAAACAACTTGGAAAACCACAATTCTCTAGCCACATCGCTTATGTTTCACGATCTTGAAAGGAGGGCTATGCCACTGTCGACAAATCATTTACTCTCCGAAGCATAGGATCATTCCCTACATCTCTCGTTGGCCATGAATACCTTCACCTCCACGCCCGTCTTACGCGGATTGGACGCCATTTGGCCGGCTAGGTGATTCAGTGATATGGTGACACAAGCCTGCCCCCATCTTATGGGGGATTAGGGTATCATGAATTCATGTGGATGGCTTCTCAGCCGCAACTTCAGTCACAGCCCTGCTTCGGGCTTGGATGATCCAGCTCGTCTCTTGAAAGAAGTTTCCTCTGTAATGAGACCTCGTAACTTCAGAGTACAACCAAGCTGGTTCGACTAGATATGTTGAGTACTTCGCGTTGCCAAGGTTTTGACCAGCTGCCTTGCGGACCTCATCTTGGCCAGCGACTGCTATTAGATATACAATCGTCTCACCATATGTCGCCATCGTCTTCATCAGGAAGCCTGGCTTGCACTCATTCACCTATTGGTCAGCGGAACTTCCCACACCTCATCTGATGACCTGCCCAGATCATCTCGTGGCTGAAGTCAGCCCTTCTTCCCCTTGTGCGACTTGGACTTTGTGTTCCCAAGCCCGTCAGCGACGATGATCCAGCCATGCCGGATGTCGGCCTACCAGTATCGCCGTGTAGGACGCTCAAGCATGCTTCGAATCGAGGGCTACCACGGGAAGAAGACGGACTCGGGCCATGCTCGTCTGGCCGAAGCCACCATTGACGCCGCCCGAGCTTCCCGAAAGACCTCTTGAATAACGCGATCAATTCTCGAATCTGAGATACAGCGTCATCTCCGTGTCTACAAATCTCGCTTCGTCTAGGGTATCACAGTCGGTTATATAGCAATATCAGCCGAGTCCACTCTCCCTTCCCGCCGTCTCAATGGTTGCAATAACCGACTTAAACGAAGACCCGAGTCAATATGCAAACTGAGCCGTTGGCGAACCTGATTCTCGGGTTCTGCAGGTAAACGTGGCTGAGCGGTGGCGTTCTCGCAACGTGAGCCACCCTACCTATTACATCGGACGGCTGCTGTGATGTGATCAGCTGGCGAGACACTCGCGTACTCAAATCCCTGGCCAGACCTAGGTCGGGACAACGAGAAACATAGCACGGGCTTGACATGATGGCAATTCTGCGCCCGCCAGACACGACCAGTCCGTCACGGTTACCAAGTGCCGGACAGACGAGACTAGCAATGCGGGAGACACTAATGCGACGCGGCATGGGCGGGTTCGTGGACGGGCGGGCAAACCCTTTTCGACGATAACATGAAAGTGATCAACCATACATGAGCCCAAGTCGGACCTCTCTCCGTCCCTTAGATTCGGAGGTCAACAAGTTCGGCTCTCCCCTCACTTGTCTCGGCGAACGCTTGGATAGCTTGAAAATAGAAATGACCTTTCACGGACGGTGATCGCCTCCTGGGCATCGTCGCCGTTGCGGGTCCGTAGGAGAATGGGGACAGAATCAGTACTGTCTGAGTCGTGTCGTTCCCCCCTTAGAATGTCTTTGAAGTCGCCATTGAGGGGCATGAGGGGGAACGGGAAATGGGGGAAGCTTCCGACCCCGTTGATGTTTGGTGCTTTGTAGTGCTGGCGCTAAAACTCACCAGCGATAGCTGACGATCCCCCATCCGAATGCAGCCAGATACTACATGAATCAGGCCCTTTACCAGCCATCCGTGTGTTTCTCTTCATCGACTGTTAACGCATTACCTAGTGTCAACGTCGAGTATTTGGAGGCGAACCCCCCGTCATTGGAGAACCGCTCACCTCGAGCTTGCGATTGTGGCTTTTGAGTTCGTTGTTGGCTCAAAGCCATCTTTGTGTCGAACGGGTCAAGGCAGGCTCGCAATTGTGGGTTTGTTCTGGGCATCTATACCATGCTTCCCCCCTTCGAAAGCCGCATGCGGTTCAGTGGCTCTCGGGACTGGAATGCCTCGTCGTTCCGACAGACCACCGCGCCGGCGATATAGTCGTGAGTGAACCCCTCCCTGTGGAACCTTGCCAGTGCCCTTGATTTTGATGGAGGGTCGGAAACTGATTCATCAAAAGAAAGAAAGAGAAAAGAAGATTCTGGGGTTGGAAAAGTATCGCCATCATCCGGTCATCAGCGAGCCTTACGTTCTTGACACCAGCTTGGCGGGCATTCCGCCGGAGGCACCGCCGCGATGGCTATGCCACTCAGCACGAGAGCAGAGTGCTGGGTTTGGTACGGCCTGGCGATTGGTGCGGTCGTAATGAGATAGTGAGTGAATCATATTCGATATTTCCCAAATCCAGTCTCATACTGATATTCCGATTCAGTCAGTCTCAGTACCTCGTCCGCAAGCGCAGGTTCTTCGACAAAATGACTATAGACGACATATTGATGGCTATAATAGTCGTAAGTCTTTGCATCAATCCTGCCGCAGATATCCATGATGTCCACAATTGATCTAAGTTGTTGCGGCTGAAGCTAACTTGCTATCTCTCAGCTAATATACACTACCTCGATCTCCGCACTATACATCTACTTTGACATCGTTGCGACGACCGACTTTGACGCCCTCACTCCGGATGAGTATGCCGCAGTTGGTCGCAAGATGGGAATACTGAACATTCTATCCGAAACATCGATGCAAACAACACTTTGGGGTAATAAGTGTTGTTTACTGCTATTATACAATCGCCTGACGTACGTGTCAATCCCATTTGCCATCGCTTTTATAGCACAAAGTGCTCACTGTTAGCAGTCTCTTTGGCCATTATCGAAAGACTTGGGTCAGCGTTGCAGCTTACACCGGGCTTGCATACGTTGCAGTCATCGTTTCACTATACGGAGGGTGGTGCAGGCCATTTTCCGAGTACATGGAGCTTCAGCCAGAAAACGGTGAGTCTCTTCCTAGACTGGAAGCCGATGGCATGAGATCAGCTGTTTCACGAACATCTTATTGGAAGGAAGCTGACTCTTGCTTCTTCAGCGGAATGCTTGACATGGAAGAACTACAACATATTGCAAATCACGATGAACCTATCGACGGATCTGGTGCTTCTTCTAATTCCGGTCACATTGATCAGCCGGTTAAAGATGAAAATCGGAAAGTACGTACGCCCTTTTCGTGTTGTGTAGACGACAGGATCTTAATCCAGGATAGAATTTGAATGCTAAATGCGATATCGCTACAGAAAACTCCTTCTCATCTGTCTCTTTAGCATGGGCGTATTCGTTGTAAGTTCTATCCTGAAGAGGCCCCGTCTCCTCCCGTCATACAAGTCTCGCTTTGCTAACTAACGTCTCTCAAACAGATGCTTTGCGCAATCCTTACCAAGGTCGCCGTCTTCACCTACTCAACCGACTTCGTCTGGTTTATGTGGTGCGTGCGCGAGACGAGTACCGCGATGCTAGTCGGCAACCTCGTCCTCGGAATGCCCACCCTGCGTGCCGCGTGGCGGTGCGTCTTCCCGCAGAGCAGTATCACGCCTTTGCGAGATGGAGAATCCTCTGCGGGTACGGGGGAGACGTACGCGACGTATAACACGGCGAAGAAAGTCTCCCGCGTCGGTTCGGACGCCTGGTCGGCCGCGGAGCAACAGCACCACCACGGAGGCGGTCCGTCTCAGTGGAACTCGCCTCCCGCCGCCAGAGTCGCGATCAGTAGCGTCTACACGGATTTTGATCTTTACGGGAAGGCTGGAGCTAAGGGGGAGAGTAGGAGGTTGTCGATGGGGTCGGAGCATGTATGATATGACAGGGTTGGCAGGGTACACTCGACTGGATGCGAGGACTGCGGCTTTATAATATTTAATGTTTGTACGCAGTACCGGATATAAACGGATTCATCCCATTCCACAGGACGAGACGAACCATCTTCGGAACAGCCGCCTCGTGTTCACTAATTAACCGGCTAAGGTTCCTCTAAACTTAATATGCCGCGATGAATGTAGATCATCGCGGTCTGGCCACATTGGCCAGAAAACTGTTGATCTATACGGCACCTTCGTACTGGTTCAGTTCGACACATGATACCCGAATATGGACACCATATGTGAGACTTTTTGTCTCTGTTGCCATGTCTCCGTCGGGTGTGAAATCAGCTTCTTCCCCAAGTGCAAAGCAGCGAGGTTACCAGTATCAACAACCACGATAGGCCAGATTTTCTGAGTCAAACATCATTTTCCTGAATTTAAGTCTTTTGAAGCAAAAGTCTCGTGTATGTTTCTAGGGCCTTTGGCTGGCCTTGGTGACAATTCACGTATTATCTTATACAGGTTTTGGTAGATTCTGTGCCGAGCTTCGAAGCTTGTTGTCGCTTCTACTCACTATACGCGCGATCTTTCTAAGTCGCAGCCATGGCGGTTGACGGAAGGATCAGTGGCGAGCTCAGTGGTGGTCTCACACCTTAGTTCTTGTAATCTGGTGCGGGTTTGGCTGTTCGTGGGTACCTATGGGTTATCACGATTTGGGTTCCCATAGGTAAACGGGACTTAATGGGTTTTGGGTGACTGTGAAATTGGGGATCCAAAGTCCTCAAGTGTCGAACTGGAGACACTCGTGGGTTTCCGGGTAATCACCAATTGGGTCCCCACGGATTTGGATCCCATGGGTAGAACTTCAGCAATTCAGGTTCTCATTGTTTGTTCGCTACTCATGGGTCCCGCGACTTTGGGTCCTTATGGGTTGAGGATACCCATGGGTCATCGTTTCCATCTAGAAGCATCACTTATGTACTTGTTCATAGCCTACTGTGCAACCGGCAAAGAGCGCGGTCACGTTATGGTATAAGTTGCCATCCTCGTAAGGGGAAGGAGGTCTACTGAGACGGTCCCTGTAAAGTCCATTTGGACACCAGAAAACTCTCAAATAGAGCAAAGCAAGGCAGAGACTACAGGACATACCCTTGCTTGTCCCTCTCACTTCGCTGGAGTATCTTGGTCGTCACCGACCTTAGCAAAAAGACCAAACTAGCAAATATTCGTTATCCACTCACTCCATCAACATCCAAAAAGCAAAAGAACATACAACACCAGGTATTCGCTGGTCGTCACCGACCCAACTACTAATCCGGCCCTCATTGGCTTATCTATGGGAGAGCGGACGGGATCCCGAGTTTTCCAATGGGTATGGTCGTATGTGTTCGAATGAAGGCATCGTGACATCCATGGAGGCCACACAGCACTACAGAGCAAGGAAATACCAACTTTCGCACAAATATCAGTCACTGCGATAGCTATACGGAGAGCTTTGAAAATAGATTGAACTCTTTTTCTTGAATTTTGCTGTTTCGCCGTTTCGCCTCTCAAGAGTAAGAGTAAGGGGGAGGTTGTGGAGGTAGGTTGCTCAGTCGATTCTTTACTTCTACCTCGTCTACTCCCTCAACAGCTAGAACCACGACTCACATATTTCTCTAACCCTTGAAGTGAAGGTTATTATTGTAGACTCCAGCACGTTTGTAACATACTAGTTGATATATGAAACTGGAAGATGCGATCGCCGAAGTTAGCCTCGGTGTAGTTACGCAAGCTCAAAGTACCTGCCTCGAACTGTCTTTGTATCTCGCAGAAACAGTAGCAGTTCAGTAAATCAATGACTTCATGTGAAATACACTGCTAACTACGCTTGCAGAATGTTGCAAATCAGCCAAATTACCACGCGTTTAGTCGCAGACAAATGCCTCCTTAATCCACCGCACTTTTTGGAGCATACGCACACATTACTCCTCAATACGGAGTTGGCAATCAAAATCACCGTTCTTCAGAATTGATGGCATAAATAGTAGGTTCCAATCCGGGTCAGTAGATTAGAGCCGGCAGACCATTCGGACATACCTGGATCGCCACGCCAGCCCGGTTCAATAAACACACTTCAGAGGGACTTAGCAATTGGAAACGTGCTAGCTGAAGTGATTTCTCAATCATTAAGCGTAGTTTGCATCACGTCTAGTGTAAGGTACCAAATCCTCGATGTAGCTAGGAATATGATGGGTAGACTCTAGCCGAAGCATCAGACATAGCAGGCTATGCACAGTGTAGGATAGAAGAACTATCACACCATGGTAAGTAATAGCCGTAATGATGTGGTGAGAATTGATATTCTGACTTGCAGGCTCATTTCCACGTCTCCGTCGTCGAGATGTGTTTCTCGCCCAGGCCCGCAAGCCACCTCACTATGAGAGTGTATCTGGCCAAGTCAGAACTTCAACACGAGCGCAGAAAGTTGTTCAAAAGATTTCACTTCGCGCCTTTGATAACAAGAGCTTACGCTTGCTCATTATATACGAAACTCCGCGCGGGCCTCTAAAAAGAATATCTTTCGTACATCGAAACCCATGCTCCCTCCTGCTCTTTCATAGCGGCATGCTAATAACTACAAGCTCAAGTCCTGGAACAACGCTCTCAACAGAGCTGGCCCTCCTCCTCTCATCCGGCTGAGGAACCCGCCGCAGGCAGAGGCGGGTGCCTGAGCTGTGCCATACAAAAATTCAACAACGTGATGCCAAACGCCAGGAAAACCATAATGTGTTTTTGATGCCATGCTCTGCACATTCCAATAACCCCCTTCTCCATATCATTACAATGCGATCGCGCCTCGTCTATTCTCCCGGACGTGGAGAAGGCCCTGGAAGCCGCAGAAAACGAAGAAACCCTAGTGTTGGCGGTTAGTAACTTGGTTCCTCACAAGCGCGGGCATTTGTTGCCGATATGTGTAGGAGGAGGGTGCGTGACGTACGATGTAGATCATCACAGACACGAAGATGGTGCCCGCAACAGCGCCGCCGTCCTTGGGGTCTTCCTCGCTACCGACGAGCTCGGGGTGGTTTTGCTTGAATAGAATGCCGAGAACACCGAGGATAACGATCGCGAAAACGGAGATGACAGTGCTATCGAATGAAGGCTAATTAGTATTGGGAAGCTTGGCTCAAGGGGGATGCTGCATCGGGGGAGGGCGTACCATTGCCATGCTTGCATGGCACTGACGACAGGCTTCATGTTTACGGTTTGTGGCGGAGGCCTGATTTATTGGCTGTATGTCTGATGAAGCACGAATGCGAAGTCGTTGGGTTGTGATGCGTGTGGCGGCGTCGTTGGCAGTGATCGCGAAGGTCGAGGCTGTTGCTGCTACCTATCTCGCCGAGCTCCACAACAGTTCGGTGACGTCCAATAAGCTTGCCTGACTTACCAGGCTTGAAGTTACAGCCACTGTCCACCTCAGTCCAGCCACACATCAGTCAGCCGCTCACTAGCCACACACGGACGGAAGAAAGACCCGCCGAATTTACCGCCCGGCCACGCCTCGGCGCGGGTGGGGCCGCTCGCAAGTCTGTGCCCGGACCTCTGTTCTGCAACTCAATCATCCTATTCCATTCGGCGGATACATGCTCATTTTCACACTAAAGCAGCTTAAGATTCAAGATCGATATGTACCATCAGTCAATCTGCAATGGCTCTTTAGGGAAATCTGCGTGTCCCGCCGAATTTGGACGGATGTGGTCCTTCCCGGATCTCGAGGTGCATCGGATCGTCCCCGTGAGATCGCAGCAGACCCATCCCCGATCAACCATGGTTTTGGAAAATACGAAGCTCTGCCGGCGACTACAGCCGTTAGTCGCCTCAGGTTCCTGGTCGCAAGGATCCGACATGGCCGTCCTTGCCGTCCCACATAGACTTTCACGATAGGCAAAGTCGGCCCCCAATGGTTTCGTCTGCTCAGAACCCTGAAGCCTGAAACGCGTTCCCTCTACCCCGACCTTGGGCAGTACGATACTGGAGAAAAATAACGACGGAATTTGCAAGCGCATGTTGGTCAAGGGGGAAAATCCATGAAGAGAAGCTGCACAAGGTGACGCCAAATCTAGCGTGCAAAGAATCAGGCCCGAGGCCAGTCTGAGCTAGACGTGCTAAACCGTCACCTGACACCTTGGAAACGGTGTTCTGTGCTATCTATTGCTAAGTGGAGGCTCTGCTCAGATTCCAAACGGTTCTAGCCCATCTAGCAGTGGAGAAACGGTGCATCGATATGGAAGAAGCTTAAACCACGAAAGATCGAATGCCAAGAGACGGCCGTTTGTCACCGGTGTTGACAGGACCAGTGGGCAGCAGTTCGCCTGATAAGAAGTTGACCGGGCGGTATCTGTTGCTGGCAGTCTGGGATCAAGCTAGCAAAGCAGCCAAACGGCAGGGCCGCCAATGTGTTCATCGCTTGGGCAGTGACATGACAAGCTGAAACAGCAACTTTGGACCCAGACGGATGGTCCACCTCCGAACAGAACTATACGATATCGCCAAACTTTTGGGTATCACCAGATTTCGTTTCTCTTGAAACACTCGCAGTACACTCAAGCTTTTAGGATAGGTGAACAGACCTTTGGCATGTCCTTTGTGCATCCCCGAAGACGACCCAAAGGAGAGCATGTCCTTCATCCTGTACCTTGGATACAGACCTCCACACCAAGCGTTGATCTTTCGTCATGTCGGCAGAGCGAATGTTCTGACGACAGTGGCACAGAGGTGCCGATTGCGCAAACGGGACGATAGCCGTCACCGCTGCATGACGAGAAGAGGTTGACAGGATAGGATGAGAAGACGAGCTCAGGTCATCGAGAGAGTCATTCGACCCTATGAGTGATGTTCGACTCAAGTTTGGCTACGAATAAGGAACCCTTTCCATACGGCGAGAACGCTCTGCAGCTTACAACTGCACCCTTTCGAAACACCACCAAAGGTTGGCGCATCTCTGGTGGTTCTCT